TACCTGGTAAGTTTGCCCAAATTTCCCTACTTGGGTCCGGGAGGAAATTGTTCACTCCTCTCTCTGGTCTGCCCCTAAATCGTCACTTCCTTGTCAGGAGTGATAAACTTCTCTTCTCCCTCTTTTTCCAGACCCCAGTCTTCCCTCATAGCCCTGTGATGTCTCCTACTCCAAGTCCCCCCGCCAAGCTCCTCACTGCCCCCGCCTTTGTCCCCTGAAGTTTGAAGGGTCCCAGCCTGCAGCAACAGCTCGGAGGAACTGGGCACCCTCCAAGCTGCCTGTTCTCCCACCCAGCCAGAAATCTCCAAGAAAGGAGGAAAAAAGACAAGAAAGAAACCAGACTGAGACGTAATTTCCTCCCAAGCAGTTCAAATGGGCTCTGTTCTCCAGGATAAATAAGAACCCCCCACTCCTTCTCCTACCGCATTTGGGGGGTGCGTGTCCTCTGATATTTTTCTCCAGGTTAGCTTTCTGGATCCCCAGTCCTCCTTTTCACCCCCACCCCACCGTGCCCCGCGGCTCCTGGCGTTGCCAGAAGGGACCACGATGGGTTGAGGAGACTCTGGGAGAAGAAGGGTCCTCCTCTGTCTTTGGAAAGCTCCTCCAGCCTCCTTCAGCTCAGCTCCAGGCCAGACCCTCAGGCAGCCCAGTCTCACAGGCCCACAGCTGGCTGGGTGCCCTCTGGGGTTTCTTAATTCCTGGAGGTAATGCTGTGCAGCCCCACAGTGACCAGGTTCTCCTCTTCCCTCAGTTTTGCATGACCTTCTCTAGCTAGTGGTAGCAGCAGCTTAGGAGAGCTGAAGGTCTGAGGTACATTTTTTGACTTTCAATTTTGGGGAGTAAGAGAAAAGACCCAAAGGTGCCCTTTCTCTCAGGCCTCTGGAAGCCTCCCTGGGCTGAGTCCCCAACCCACCAGGCCCAAAGCTACATAGAACCAACATCTCAGGTCTCTAACCAGGGTCTAGAAATCTCAGGACAGGCTCCGTGCAGATGCGCGCGCACACACACACACACACACACACACACACACACACACACACGAGCAGCCATGATGGCGTTCTTTGAGGGGCCTGGCTTGAGTCGAAACATAGGTTTGGGCTTGGGCATTTAAGATGTCTTCTTGTGACTCCTAATAAACAGAAAAATGGTTCCCACCCTCTATCCTCACCACTCCCCCCTTCCTTCAGCCACCAGCTCTCTAGGCAGGGGGTAAGGTCCTTGGGACATCACAGTAGGAGTTTCTGCGTGTGGTTCCTGTTGCTGGGGGGCAGGGAAGCCATGGGTCCCACCCACCCCCTGCTCAGCAAGGCCCCAAGAAATTGGCTGCTCCAGCCCATGAAAAAACTGACTTAGCGGGACTGAAAGCTGTAGGGGCAGGAGGAGGCCCGGGGAGCACTCTCTAGAAGAGTAGGACCCTTTCTCAGCTCAAAGCAGAGCTTGTGAGTAGGGTGTGAGGGAAGCTTTGCCAGACAAGGCCACCCTCTCCTGGAGGGGAGACAATAGCTGGAAATATCTCTCACCTTTGTTCTCCCAGTCCCATCTCTTCTGGTGCATCCAGATGGGAGAAGGCAAAAGCCAAGCATTCTAACCAGGAGGTCACAGGGTATTGGCTGGCTCTGTGTACTCGAAGTTAACAGGTTTTCCAAGCTGCCTTTGTAGAAAAGAGAGACTCTCTGCCTTCTATTTGATCCCCTAAGCCCCGAGTCAGCAGTTAGGCAGAGTTGCAAACACTCCTGCTTTGGGAGATGTCCTGGTCCTCTGTTTGTCTCTCCTCCACCGGGAGTGGCTGTTCCCCACCCCCGCCCCCAATCTGCAGACACCTACATTCTTGACTCATGGCTCCCTCCTACAGGCCTCCTCGCCTTTTCCTCCCCTTCTCAAACCCACTCTAAGAAAAGTTTAGCTTTTGTAGTCCTCCTCACTTGGGCCAAGAGCCATAAATCTTGCAGAGCTAAGAGAAACAAACAGGTTTGTTCTGAATAATAATAATAACTACCCTCCTTCTCTTCTGTCAGCGCATTTAAGATGAAACCATTTTGGTAGCTCTTCTCACCTTCTTAGAAGTACAAATGTCCTTATCACCCTTAGCCCCTTCTGCCTATCCGGAGGTGAGAATCTTAACAGAAACTTCTCCGTTAAGTTCTTACAGCCTCTCTATTGCCAGCCGTGTCTGGAGCTCAAGCGAACAGAGTGCTCCTTTTGTCACCCTCCCCTCAACCCCCTCCTCCTGCAAGATGGTCTGGATTTTTAAAATAATCACTCACCGCTTGTTGTCTGTTCTCAAAAGGGGGGGGGTGTTTAAAAAAAAAAAGGAAGGTCTGGCTGTCCCCCCTACCGGTTGGAAACTGAGCCTGGAGATTTGCGGGGAGAGAGAAGAAGTAGGGAGGGTGTGGGGGAAGAGAAGAAACAGACTGGGAGACTTGGAGTGGGGAGCCAGGACGAGAGGGCGGTAGACCCAGCCACTAGTCCCGGAGGAGTGAAACTACTTAAAAAAAAAAAAAAAAAAAAAGGCAGTAAGCCCCAGTGTTGCCACCGCAAATCAACGCAGAGGGGCACCCAGCACCCCCCCCCCAGGCACCTTGGGTGCCTTTGACTAGGCTTCCCCACCTACTTCTCAGTTAGCATAATGGTTTAACCAGTGGGGTGCGGCGGAGCTGTGAAATCCACCGGCTTTGCCTTGCCTGTGCCCTCCTCTTCCTCCCCCGCCAAAATCTCAATTTAAAAATTTACCTGTTCCTAAAAAACAAAAGCAAACCAAAAATCTCTACCTTCTTTCCTTTCTCACTTTTTTTGGGGGGGGGTTTAAAAAACGGCCCCCTCCCCCATCACCACCAACACCTTCTTCCCTCCTTATCAGGCATCTAAGCTTGCTAAAGGGGGAGTGGTGGGGGTGTGTGTGAGCTTGTGTGTGTGTGAGTGAGTGAGTGTGTGTGTGTGTCTGTGTGGTTTTTTTCCCTGTGCAAAAGCAGAGGCCATTGTTACGGAGAGTAGGGCGTACCAGTCTTGTAGGGCAACCACACTGTGGCGGCTTGGCCGAGCCGGAGCCCGGAGCTGGATTCTCAGCCAGCTGAGCCGCCCGAGCACCTTTCGGTCTTCTTCTATTTTTTTCCCCGCTCCCCACCCCCTCCCTCCTGAGCACCCCCCGCTCCTAAGCCGAGTGAATTGAAGCGGACGCCGCGCGGCTCCTCCGGCCGCTGTGCCCCTCGGGCTCCCCAGCCGGGGTGGCTATTGATGGGGGGGGGCGACGCAGCTTTAAACAGTGGTCTTTTTTTCCTTTGCCTTCAAGGAGGGGAGATTTCTCGCCTGCCGCTCGCGCTGGGGCTCGATGTGAATATATATTATGTCTGCCTGTTCTCCCCTCGTCGGTGGCTAAGGTAAGCTGGACTGAAATAGGCTATCAGTTTGTGAATGGCGGAGAGTATGTCTCAATGATTTATGGCCCATATGACTCCAATCTCGGTTCAAGAAGAGTTCACAAGCTTTAAGCTTCCTTCCACGCAGCGACTCTCCTCTCTCTCCTCTCTCTCTCTCTCTCTCCCTCCCTCCCCCTCCCTCCCTCCCTCTCTCTCTCTCTCTCTCTCCCTCTCTCCCTCTCTCCCTCTCTCCCTCTCTCCCTCTCCCTTCTTGCTTCTCTCCTTTTCTCCTCTCTTTTCTTTCAGCAGCCAGATCCAGGGCTGAATTTCCCCCCGGCTACAAAGAAGAGCCTAACCTTTCTCTCTTTTCCTTTCTTGTTCTTTTATTTTTCTTCCTTCCACTAATCTTTTTTTTTTTTTTTTTTTTTTTTTTTTTTTTTAAGTCCTGGAAGAGGGCCTGTCCCCTTTCTGCGGGCTTCCCCAGCTATTGTTACTCTCCCCGGTTCTTTTCAGGGGTGTGCCTGGACAGGTGGGGTTCTTGGGGCTGCTCACCGACCGCCCTTCTCCAACAAGACCCTGGGGGGAAGCCGGGAGCCACCGTCTCCCTCCCTCCCTCCCTCTCTCCGGAGAAGCCATATGGAGCCTGGATTTTTCCAACATGGAGGCAAGGGAAATAGATATGTTTGGCTTGGTAGAGCTGCTCCCCACCCCCGCTTCTCCCGGATCCCTAGATCTCGGATCCCCTCAACACCTTAACCTCTTTTCACTGTCCCATCAGCTGGGCCTCTGCGCCCTGCGGCCGATCCGGGCCTGCCAAAGTCCCGGAGCAGAGTTGCCAGGGCTCCTTTTAATTCGGTTACCTCCAGCGCCCAAACTTGCTGCCCTCAGCCCGGTGTGCTTGGAACCTGCGGCCGCGAGCCATTTAGGCGTCCTGGACGCTTTCTCTTCGCCTCCTTGGGCCAGCAGAGCTAGTCTCCTGCTAGCTACCGCGGCAGCCACGTCCCAGACAGCCGGAGGCGGCAGCCAGGGGCTAGCTCTGGCCACAAACCTCCCGGCCCTGTCTCGCCGCCGGCGGAATCTCCATTCTTTCCTGTTACGTCTCTGGCTTCTCCGCTTCCCACACTCGCCTGGCCTCTGTCCTACGATGGTTTCCAGGTTTATTGCAGGGGGAACGACAGGAATTTCGGCCCCAGGCGTCTAGTCAGATTATTGCTTTATTATCACCATCATCATCATCATCATCATTACTGCTCGTAACAATCATTTAGACTAAATAAAGCTAGGGCCCGGCCAGCCAACCCTTTCCAACGTTTTTATTTCATTCTCTTCTCTATCTATTAATAACAAACTCAACTGATACCTGTTAATTAATTCCCCCTTCATCCAGGGCTGCTCCGAAGCTAATTTTGGTTAAATCATCAGAGGCTAATCGTAATAATAATAAAGGGATTGGGTCAGCCTGGTCAATTGAACTCCAGTTCTTCTCCCTGGAAGGACCTGCTGCTTGACAGACCCATGTGTATTTCCCAGAAACAAATTCTTCCCAGAAACCAATCGGATCTCAGGGCTACCCTGGCTCCCTTTTGAGTGTAAATCTCTGCCATTAAGAAGGGGATTTATGTGGGGGAGAGACTTCCTTCATCTGCACTCCTTTTATTTTATTTTCCTATCTTTAGTTTTCTTTGGAGTACCAGCTGGGTTGAATGAGATTTAAGGAGTCCAAACTCACATGTCAGAAGACAGGGTCACTCTGGAGGTTTTATGAAATGCGATGGTGAGAGATGCGGGAAGGCAGGGAGGAAAAAAATGCAGTCAGAAGTTTTAGAATAAATACACAAAATCCTATGACAGCTTGGAGCTTTATTTTTTTTCTGCACAGTTTTAAAAGTCTGTGTTAAAATAATGATTTTTTTTTTTTGCCTTGGAAAACTTCAGTAAACAAAGTACCCCGTTTCCAACCCAGAGAATAATTTTGTTCTGATTGCTCTGTTGACTTTCTTTTTTGTCTTGGGTAAAGGTGTTCTCATTCAGGAAGCACTCTCGCATCTCTTGGTAGAAAAGTCAAGCAGTTATCCAGTTTCTCTCTTCTTTTCTTCTTTTGGAGAAATCAAAGGAAACAGACTGTCAAGGAAAAGGGTGGGAAAAAAATTAGGTCTGATGGAAAAAATGGAGCCGGGAGAGACTTGGGCCAAATGGTCACCGCACCAATCAGGCGGGCCAGGGAAATGGAAACAATCCTGCTCCATTTGGGGGCCCCATGGGGGCTGCTATCCACTGGGTCCCAGACTTGGCTGAGGAGAGACTCAGACTGAAGGTGCTGGTACCTGCCGCAGGGCCACTGAGGAGGCTCGGTAGTGCTGGCTCTGGAGGTTAAAAAATCTTCAGGAAGTTTCTAGGTCAGGCTGTAGTCTCCGTGAGGTGGGAGGAGAACGAGAGGGCTCCTCACAGGAGAAGGTTCCCTGCTCAACTTGCTTCTCCTTCCTGTCTCTTTAGGAGATCCTCTGTTTTTTTTTGTTTTTGTTTTTTTTTTCCTCCAGGGTAGACTCTGCTTGGGTGAGAGACCTAGATGGACATGGAGGGAGGCAAAGACAGGCGGCAGGAGGCCTCTCAGCTCAGAGGAGGGTGTTGGTGATGCTTTTATTTTGGAGTCTCCTAGTCCCCCCCACCCCTTGAGCCACCCTATCCCAGAGCTGGGTGGGGGGGTTGGGAGAGGGAGGCAGAAGAGGTCAGGGGCTAGCATGCAGGCAGGAGAGAGAAACGATGGCCTTTGCGGTAGTAAGATATTGTACCTAGGCAGTCCCCAAAACAGTAGAAGTGGAAATAATAACTGGTGGACTTTTTCCTTAAAATTAAAATAAGAAATAAGAAAAATCCATTTCAGGTCAGGAAAGTGGCCTCAGCATCTGCTTTGAAGATGTTGGGGTGGGGGAGAAGAAAAAAACCCTATTGATGTCAGTTCCCTTTTCAGCTCCTAAGATGGATTCGAGCCCCAGTCCTCTTCTCCCCCTTGTGTCTCTTCTCTCGCCCCGCAGGTCAGCCGCTCCCAACGGACTCGGGAGGAGGGGGGCAAAAAGGGGAGGGGGGGTCCGGCGCCTCACGTGACCCCCGCGGGTGCCAATGTCCGGTCGTGAGGGTATCAGGCTCTTGCAAGTTGCCACCCACTGTCCGGGCCTCGCCCAGCGATGCAGAAAGCCACCTACTACGACAACGCCGCGGCAGCACTCTTCGGAGGCTATTCCTCGTACCCTGGCAGCAATGGCTTCGGCTACGACGGTCCCCCCCAACCCCCCTTTCAGGCCGCCACGCACCTGGAGGGCGACTACCAGCGCTCAGCGTGCTCGCTGCAGTCCCTGGGCAACGCCGCCCCGCATGCCAAGAGCAAGGAGCTCAACGGCAGCTGCATGAGGCCCGGCCTGGCCCCCGAGCCCCTGCCCGCCCCGCCCGGCTCACCCCCGCCCAGCGCCGCACCTCCCAGTACCACTAGCAACAGCAGTAATGGGGGCGGGCCCAGCAAAAGCGGCACCCCCAAGTGCGTTCCCGGCTCCAACTCCACCCTCACCAAACAGATATTCCCCTGGATGAAAGAGTCAAGGCAAACGTCCAAGCTGAAAAACGGCTCCCCCAGCACAGGTACCAGCTCTCTGCCTTCCTCGTCGTCAGCTTTTGTCCGGGCCAGGAATGTCACTGTTATTCTAGCACCCAGCCCCTAGGCGCCCGGGCGGCGGCCTGGGAACAATATAAGGTCGCGGCGGCTGCGGCGCTTTGCCCGTACCCACCCTCCTCCCCCTGACGACCCCTGACCCCGCCAGCACCCTCTCCCTCCAGCCGCCCTCCACCTGAGCTGCCGAGCGCTGTAGAAGGCCAGGTGTTCGCGCGGCCGCAGCCCTTCGCAAGGCCGCAGAGCCACGAGACGCGCCAGCAGACGCAGAGTCGTCAACGATTGATTATTATTAAGTATGATTACTGTGGGTATTAATCACAAGCGCTCCGGCGGCCTGGGGTGCCGGCCCCCAGGCAAAGCAGCCTCTTCGAGCCGCGCTTCCGCGCCCTGCCCCCCCCCCCGAGTGTCCAGATTCCCCCAGGGGTTCTCCTCGGCCGCCCACCTTGTCCATAGGACCCAGCAGGAAGTGTAGGGGTGGGAGGGTGGGAGGTGGGGGGTCTTCCCAGAACCTGGAATTGGGGATGGGGGGAGAAAGCGTGCGCGCGAAAATCCAGCTCTAAATAAATGGCCATGCGGCTCTGTCTGCGTGACATGATCAAATTTTCATAAGCTGGGGCAGCAAGAGGAGAACAGGTCTCTTAATAAATGCCACTATTATAGAGTGTCCGCTAATGCGACGGGCGTTGGGGGGGTGGTGGTGAGGAGGAGGCGGGGACGAGAAGGGGAGGGCGGCGGGGGCTCCGAGTCCAGGCCTGGATTTATTAAGAAACCATGCATTCAATTTCGGCGTGTTCAGTAATTATCTTTTATTTCATTTTGTCCCCTTCCCACCCCTCCCCCTCGGATCCAGCGGAGGGCTGCGGCGGCGGCGGCAGTGGCGGCGGCGGGGGCGGCGGCGGCGGCGGCGGGGGAGGGGACAAGAGCCCCCCGGGGTCGGCGGCGTCCAAGCGCGCGCGGACGGCGTACACGAGCGCGCAGCTGGTGGAGCTGGAGAAGGAGTTCCACTTCAACCGCTACCTGTGCCGGCCGCGCCGCGTGGAGATGGCCAACCTGCTGAACCTCAGCGAGCGGCAGATCAAGATCTGGTTCCAGAACCGGCGCATGAAGTACAAGAAGGACCAGAAGGCCAAGGGCCTGGCCTCGTCGTCCGGGGGCCCCTCCCCCGCCGGCAGCCCCCCGCAGCCCATGCAGTCCACCGCCGGCTTCATGAACGCCTTACACTCCATGACCCCCAGCTACGAGAGCCCGTCCCCGCCCGCCTTCGGCAAAGCCCATCAGAATGCCTACGCGCTGCCCTCCAACTACCAGCCCCCTCTCAAAGGCTGCGGCGCCCCGCAGAAGTACCCCCCGACCCCGGCGCCCGATTACGAGCCTCATGTCCTCCAAGCCAATGGGGGCGCCTACGGGACGCCCACCATGCAGGGCAGCCCGGTGTACGTGGGCGGGGGCGGCTACGCGGATCCGCTGCCGCCCCCTGCCGGCCCCTCCCTCTACGGCCTCAACCACCTTTCCCACCACCCCTCGGGGAACCTGGACTACAATGGGGCGCCCCCTATGGCCCCCAACCAGCACCACGGACCCTGCGATCCCCACCCTACCTACACAGACCTCTCCTCTCACCATGCGCCTCCTCCTCAGGGTAGAATCCAAGAAGCGCCCAAATTAACACACCTGTGATGGGAGAGGGAGGGCGGAGGGGAGAGGCCATGGGGTAAATGAGAGCCAGAAGAGGCGCCGGGCCGCCGGGCTCCGGGAGGGCATCCTGGAGGTCTGACGGAGAAAGCCAGGAGGTGATAGCCACGCTTCCTGGGAAGGCCAGGCCTGCAGCTCCTTTCCCTTCCCCTGGCCTGAGAAGTTATATTTTAAGGTCCTCCAGTCCCTGTTCCATCTGCCTGCCAAGCCGTTGGAGAGCACTCCACAGCGGATTGTGGAGATGAGATGACCCCATCAACCCTAGGCCTCCAGCAATACCCAGTTGGGATTCTACGCTCCGAGTGGGGTGGAGGAAGAGGAGATAGGGAAGCAAGGTAGAGAAGCACATTAAAACAAACAAACAAAAACAGACAAGATGGCTAGGCCATCACCAACCAACCAACTTACCTTCCATCTCTGTGGTTAATTTCTCCAAATCTTGATTTTTCCCCCCCTTCCAATTCTCCTTTTAAAAAACAAAAGAAAGCGCATTTCAAAACCAAGGGCACAAAGCACGCTCCCCTCCCACTTCCATGAAGCCTCAAGTTTCTTCCCAACTATTTGAGGTTTATTGGGTATTCCCTCCATTTTTAGCCCCATAGTCTCTGCTTTAGGACATTAATATCTCTACCCCGCCCCCATCTATTAGTTTTCAGAGGGCTCAGGGATGGTGAGAGATCCTGAAAGTCGGAGCTGTCTATATTATAAATATATATATTTTTCTTTTATGGAAACTGGGAGGTCAGAGCAGGCAAGGTGTCAGGACTAAAGGTTTGCCCATTCTGCGGCCTCCCATCTCAGCTCCAGGACCATCCCCCTCTCTCCACAGAAAGCAATCGGCGACACGAGGTTCTACACTTTTCTTTTCTTCTGTTGCTCTCTTGACTTAACGTGAAAACAGGGTATATTTTAACAAACTGTCTGTCCCAGGCAGGGGCTTCAGCTGGGCCTGTACGCCTTGCCCAACCCCCTGACAGGACACTTTTGTTGCACTTAGAGTTTACATTTTAATGGATATAAAAACAACTGTGAGAGATGCCTGGGCCTGCAGGAATCCAGCATCGCTCAAAAAGTGTGTTCTAGTGAACATTTTCATATATATTTATTGGTTATAGCTTGTTAAAATATTTTCTTTTTTGTATTATTTATCCCCCCTACATTATGTATTTATATGAGGGAAAAAATGAAAAACTGTACTTTTTTAGTATTTACTTGTTATAAAGGACATTGTGTTTCCTGTCATGTAAAACCAGCTATTTTAGTTATTGTACTCTAGAAAAGAGCTGTAGATTTATGTTAAACTCGTACTTATGAGCAATTGTAATTAGTTCTAAAAGGCATGAACTCAGCTCCTATTGTCACTGTATAGTCCTGAATTTGTAGAATTAGAGTTAATTCCCTCTTGGAACTTTCTTTGTTCTTCTGTAGTTACTTTTTTCCTTACTTGAAAGGGTTGTCTGTCAAACAATTCTTGAATAAACTTTCTGTTAACAATTTTATCTTGTCCTGGTGGTCCAATTTAGATAGCAGAGCAAGGCTGCTGACTGCCATATTTCCTCCAAGGAAAGGAGGACACTGAGACCCTATACTGGCTTTTGTACCCAGGGCTCAGGTCCCTATCCCCTCCCTTACCATGCCTCAGGCCTGGAACGTTCTGCCAACTTCTTTAGCTAAGATTTAAGTAACAAGTTGCTGGGGAGGAAGCAGGGGTGGGGGGTGCTTTGGAGGTAGGGGATGAGGACTCTTGGGTGCTCTCTTTGGGTCTTTTTGTTTGGCTTACTTGCTTCTCAGTTTTTCTCATTGACCTTTTGTCTTCTTGCTCCTTTGGCCACAACTTCCTGGCCACCCCTTACACAACAACAACAACAATAACAAAATCTGGCCGTTTACTGCTTCTTCCAAGCAACCTAAACTTCACAGTTCTCTTCCGGAGCTACAAAGAAGTCGTCACGTGACCCGGAGCCCAACCACCATTGGGTCTAAAATGAAAACAAAGGAAAATGATTAAAAAAAAAAAATCTGAGGCCTAGACTTCTCAGGTCAAACCTTACAACTAAAGTGAAATTAAATCACTAAATAAAACTCGGGGCGGAGGGAGAGGAGGCGCCCATGATTTCTCCTGCCAAGGAAAGGGGAGAGGAGGAGGAGGATGGAACAAGCGCTTGGATCCCAGCGTAAATAAAATGGTCCCCAGGCTAATGTGCAGTTCCGTTTCCACGATCTTTGGGAAAACTTCATTTCTTAGTCGTGGTTCCATAAAAGTTTTATCACATTGGAGCGAGGATAGAGAGGGTCTGTCAAAGATGAAATGTCACCGCCGCGTCGCCAGAGCCGATAAGAGCGAAGAGACAGGGCGGCTGAAATATGGAGCTAATTCGTTGAAAGAGAAGCGATGGCTGCGCTGAAGAGTTGCATAATTCTAATTGTAAGCGATGCGCCCGCATTGCTTAATTAGGAGCATATATTTGGTGGTACTGATGGGGGGGGGGTAGTGTCAGTGAGAATCGTTCCAGGCCCTCAGCCTTAAAGCGAGGGCTGATTTTCATTTTTATGTTGCATCCTGGCAGTCCAAGGTTAGTAATTACAGTCTTTATGCAACAATAAATAACAATAAAAAAAGCAACCTGAATTCTACACCCTCCTCCTCCCCCCACCAAGTAGGATTTTAACTGGACTCGGCTCAACCAAGCAGCAAGCAATTTAGCATCGGGTCAGGCTATAATTTAAAGGCATAAGAGCGTGCAAAGTTTGATTGGGATCAAATAACGCTCAAGGGTTTTTCTCTCTTTCCGTCTTTCCCTCTTCCTCTTCCCTGAATAACATTTTCTGAATGATGTAACTACATGAAGCGCCATGTTTGGCTCTGGGGGTGGAGGGGATTGATTATTTATCTGGCTGGAGAGAGGCAGGCCAAGAGAAGGGATTTACTTAGTTTGAGTTTGAAAAGCAGAGCTTTGGCTTGAAGCTGGAATTGCAAAGGAAAAATAAGGGCCCACTTGGCTTGGTGTCCTCTACCCTTCTTTCTGCGAGATACCAGGCCCTAGCTAAGCAGCCAAAGTCGTGGGGGGGAATCTCTGTGCTCTAAGATTCATGGCACCACAGGAGGCGGCAAGCAGTGTCTCTGGGAACGAGGGCTCTCTTGGCCCCTTTTAACACCCAACTTTTCTGCTCTTCTCTAATCTGGCCGTAAAATCTGTCAGCAGGGTTAAAGAGAGCCGTATTTCCTGCAGGGACAGCCTGGGCCGGAGTGGATGCCCAGAGAAGCGTTCCATCCTGCAGCCAGCTGGAGAGGCTGTGGAAGAAACTTCCACGGCTTCTCAAGGGGGTGGGGGGTGGCCAGAGGGAGAACCCTCTTTCAGGCCTCACTGCACAACTTCCAGACAACTACTCGGATTCTTCTGTGCCCCTCCCCCCCCCCCCCCCCCCCCCACCCCCACCCCCCAAGGGCCAAAAAAAAAAAAAAAAAACGCTCTTGTTTGGACTGGAGTGGGACACAACGGTCTCTGGCCAGTTTGCCCAGTGCAGAGCAGCGCTCTCGGTTCTGAACCGTCCAGAGCCGGCCACCCCCTGTCCCTGCAGCCCCCACCTACATATCCCCTTTCTTCCTCCTGGCTCTCCTCTGTCCTTCTCCGTCCTTTTTAAATACTCACCGCCACCCACGCGGATGAATACTCACCGCCACCCACGCGGCTGTTACATTGACAGAAAGTTTCTAGTTCCAGCTCCCGGCTGAGTTGCCATTTCTCTGCTAACCAGCCTTCTCCTCCTTGCCTGGCAGCGGAGAGGAGGAGGGGGAGGGGAGGCCCGAGCCGTGGGAGTTCTCCAGACAAACTTTCCACCCAACTCAGCGTCCTTCCCTCTGTCCCCATTTCCCATCTGTTTCCCCGCTCTCCCAGAATCACCTTTCTCTTTTGCTATCCCCCCCACCCCCAGGCCTTTTAAAGGGATGTGGAATTTCGGCTGTTCCCTCTGCTTTCCCAAAGAGCCAAATTCTTTGATGCCATCGGAGGGAGCTGTCAGGGGGCTAAGATTGATCGCCTCATCTCCTCTCGGTCCCTCTGACCCACTTATTTAAAAATCTTCCCCCAGATCGACTTTTCATTTTCTGCATCGAGATCTAGTTTCCCACCAATTGCTTGGGGCCCCGAGTTTTGTGTCCCATCTCTCCAGTAAATTACAGCACTCCCTAAAGTTCAGAGTATCTTGATCCCCTCAAAATAAATTAAAAAAAAAAAAAAAAACCTCCCACGGGGTCCAGAAATGGAAAATCATCTCCTTATTCACTGTTTTCACCCTCTCCATGTTCAGGGAATTCTTTCTTGCCAGGGATTACTATTATTGTTTTTAAACTAGCACGCTGGCAAAAAACGGGATGGGGGATACTCTTTGTCCCGGGATGGAAATCCTCTCCCCAAACACTGACCTGAGTTAGAGTGCTCTAAGTTAAATCAGACTCCCTCTGTTCTTGTTCATGTCCCTGGATATGGGTGCAGAGACAGACTTGAGGCTCCAATGGGGGCACAGGCACCTTAGATCCTGTCTGTTGTGGGGTATCAAAAAGAGTGAGACGATGACTCCTCGTGAGGAAGACAGGTGGACATAGGGGCAGGGGCACTGCTGCAAACACTGGGGAGAGGAGGGACCTGAGACCACACAGCTATGGTGGCCAAAGGTCCAAAAGGGCCCCTCACCGTCTATCTCACTCCTCGGTGTCAGCCTGCGAGTGCCTGTCGATTTTCCAAGATTTATCTGTGACTTTTGGGCGTTGGGATGGGGATGTGGTGCTGGTGATTGTAAATCTCTTCTCTTCCTTATTGCACAGTAACACTGACCTTCCCCAAAGGATGGAAGCCTCTTCTACCACCTCTTCCTCCCACATGAGATCCTCAGCTTGCTTTCTTTTGTTTTTTCCTTCTCCCCCCCCCCTTTTAACGGGGGAAGGGTAGGGAAGAAAACACTGCTGGCATTTTAAAGAAAGCATTAATGTAGTCTATTATGTACTCTATATTACAAGTATTTAGAAAAGAGGAAGATTTCTCCCTTAGATTGTCTTGTTTCCCAGCTTTTGGAACCTCCCATCCTCTGTAGGGGATGAGAGAAAGGTTCCTCTAGCCTTTCTGGAGAAAGGGAGGCTTTGGGGAGGGGAGTGTAGGACTTGGGGCTCACAGTGTCCAGGTCGTGGTCCTCTAGAGTTTTTGAATCAATTAAAGCAAATAATGCTGTTTTCCACCAGGCCCAGACGAGCGATTGGCCGAGGCCAGTCCCGTGACCATGAATTCCCTGCAATTTCGCCGGAGTCCTGGGTTTAATAGAGAGAGTCCCCATACGCTTGTATTTATCAGCAATATACAATTATAAAGGCCCAAAATAAAAAAAAAAAAAAAGAGAGAGAGAGAGAGAAAGAGAAAGAGCGAAATCTCCCCCTCCCAAAATCGCTCCATCACATAAACCTGGGGGGGGCAAGAGGGGGGGTCCCTTCCGATCCTCCCTCCTGACGCCCCCCCCAGCAGGCCCCCTCCCCCACCATTGAAAGCCATGAATTTTGAATTTGAGAGGGAGATTGGGTTTATAAACAGCCAGCCATCGCTCGCGGAGTGTCTGACTTCCTTCCCCGCTGTCTTGGAGACATTTCAAACTTCATCAATCAAGGAGTCGACATTAATTCCTCCTCCTCCTCCTTTGGAGCAAACCTTCCCCAGCCTCCAGCCCGGCGCCTCCACCCTTCAGAGACCCGGCAGCCAAAAGCGAGCCGAAGATGGGCCCGCTCTGCCGCCGCCGCCGCCGCTCCCCGCCGCCCCCTTGGTCCCCAAGTTCCCTTGGATGAAAGAGAAGAAATCCGCCAAGAAACCCAGCCAATCCGCCTCGTCTCCCCCGGCCACCTCCTCCGTTTCGGCCTCCGGGGTCGGATCGCCAGCAGGTCGGTTAGCGGGGTAGGGGTGGGGTGAGGGGCAGCTGGAAGAGAGGGGGAGAAAGCGATGGGGGAGGTAGAAAAGGTGTCGAGCCTGTTGGGGATCCTTGACGGGTCGATTCCAGGGATGAGGGAGCGATACGCTGCTGGGGTTCAGGCCTGGCCGCTGCCAGCAATTTTTTTTTTCCCCCACTATAGCAGACTTTTGGAAGCTGGTTGGGGAAGAGCTTTTTCTCTGCTAGAAGAAAAGGATTTGATTGAGGTTTTCACCTTTATCTGTGTGGAGGAATGAAAGTGGTGTTGCTGGGTTGTTGAATCTGAGGGCAAGAAAAGATTCGGCCCCAATTCCCCTGGCTCCAAAAGAGGGGGCTTTGTAAGCAAGGGAGGAGAGGAAGTGAGGAACAATCTTTTTTAAGGAACGCTCTCTCTGGGTTGAGCTCCAACGTGCCGAATTGAGGGGTCTACTCCAAGGACTCAGGAGGGAGGCTCTGAGGTTTGGGGGGCAATAGGGAGCCTCTCCCTACCCCTTGCGTGGCCCGTGGGCGGCTCTCCGAATGCTTTGCCCTGACCCGGGCCGGGGCTGCCGGCGGGAGGGGGACAGGAAAGAACGGCAACGCCGTGGGAGCGAACCGCTTCGATAGGCGGGGAGGAGGGAGGGTACTGCCGATACTGGTTTTTTTGGCAGATCGGGTGGTCTTCACTTCAGCCGAGTGAGCTGGGGCCGGGGACACGGCCCGCTCTGACACCCAGCCCGCTTTCCCTGCAGATGGCCCGGGACTGCCGGAGGCCGCCGGCAGCGGGGCGCGCAGGCTGCGCACCGCGTACACCAACACGCAACTGCTGGAGCTGGAGAAGGAATTCCACTTTAACAAGTACCTGTGCCGGCCGCGCCGCGTCGAAATTGCGGCCCTGCTGGACCTCACGGAGAGGCAGGTCAAAGTGTGGTTCCAGAACCGACGCATGAAGCACAAGCGGCAGACGCAGCACCGAGAGCCGTCCGATGGGGAGCCGGCCGGCCCGGGAGCCCCGGAAGACGGCGGCGAGCCCACCGAAGAGCCTGTGGCCAGCCCGGGCCGCCCCTCCGCCTCGCGGGCGGCGCGGGAAGCCTGCTCTCGCCCGCCCGAGGTCGCGCCGGCCCCCTCGGGCGCCCAGGGCCCGCAGCCTTTGACCGCTCACGTGGGGGGCGGTCCGCGCGCGGCCGCGGGGCTGGAGCCCGAGGAGTTGCCGGAGGATGCCTTCCCGGAGCGGCAGGATTCGCCTTTCTTGCCTGACCTCAACTTCTTCGCGGCCGACTCCTGTCTCCAGCTCTCCGGAGGCCTCTCCCCCAGCCTGCAGGGCTCGCTCGACAGCCCCGTTCCCTTTTCCGAGGAGGAGCTGGACTTCTTCACCAGCACCCTCTGTGCCATCGACCTGCAATTCCCCTAACCTGTTTCTCTTCCCGGGCCCTTCGACCCCGTCCCCTCCGCTGTCTGCGGGAAAACCCGAGGACCCCCCCCCTCCCCCAAGTCGTTTAGAATTTTTTTTTTAAATGTGTTTTGCTAAAATTCAGGTATTACAGAATTAGCGTTTAATCCATTTCCTTTCCTTTCTCTCGAAAATACTGGGCACTCGGGCGTCTTTTGAAAAATCACACCGGAAAATTCCGTTTGGTAGACTCCTTCCAACGAAATCTCAGGAATTAAACTCTAGGGGGGCTTTCTTAAAAAAAGAACTAGAGGAACTTGTTTTCCTCTCTCTCTTTTTTTTAAGTTTTAGACCGTAGATTATTTATTAAAACTCTTTAATAATAGGAAAAGGGGAAAGTATTTATTGTACATTATTTTCATAGATTAAATAAATGTCTTTATAATACGACAATGAGTGTTTGTGTTGGGACCCAGTGCCTTTCCCTGCGTCCCCCCACTAGGCCTGCTGTTACTCCCTCACGCTCGGCTTGCCCGCCCCTGGGCCGCTAAGTCCGGGTGGTACAAAAGTAACCCTATTTGGCCACCGCTTCTCCGCGCGGCCCGCAGCTCCGGAGGAGTTGGCGGGGCGGGGCGGGGGGTGGGGGGCTTGCTGGAAGCTCTGTCACCTCGACACCCTCTAACGGATGGCCTTTGGCCCTGCGCTGGGGTTCTGGGACCTCTTCTTAGAAATAAAGGTGGGCGGGTGACGGGAGAAGGTTCAGACGAGGGTGCCGGGAGAAGAAGGCCTCGGGGACGGGCTTTGGGGTCGTGGGAGGGGGCGCAGAGGTTTAGCCAAATTTGGAGGGGTCCTCGGGTTTCCCGGGTTCCTCGCTTCAGTGCCCCAAGCGGGGTCGAAAGGCTTTTTTCCCCGAACGCAGGAAGCCTGGGACTCGAGGCCGGGGTACATGGGCCGGGCCACGGCGTCGAGTGGGGTCGGGGGTTTTCTCGGGAAGCAGGTTCCAAGTGGGCCGGAAAGGCCGGGTGAAGCGCGAAGCGGGCCGCGCACCAGGGCGGCCACCACGGAGCTTCGGGGTAGGGAGGGCGGCGGCGGAGCGGCGGGGCCGCGAGCCCGGGGAGGCCCGGCCTGAGTCGGGAGGCGCTTGGCCTGCGGGGGCGGGTAGGAGGAGCGAGGAGAGCTGGAGGGCGACTGAGCAGCAAGGCAGATGCTCAAAATGGCGCTGGGGCCGAGCTGCGGGGAGGGCGAGGGAAGAGACGGTGGCCGCCATGACAGCCGCTTCGGGAGGCTTCGGTCCCCGCACGCGCCGTCTCCTTTCCAGACCTTCCATACGCCACGGAGGAACAAGAGCCAGGGAGCCTCCTTTTCGTTTCTGTTTTATTTAGACAAATGCCGCCGGCGGAGGCTGAGGACGCGAGGTGGACGCGGAGGCCGCGCGGGGCGGGCGCGCAGGGCGGGGGCTGAGCGTGCAGGCCCGGGTCGGCCTTGCCGGGTCTGACTTTGGGTCCCTCGCGCTGGGATCTGAAGCTCGGCCGGGGCTCGCTCCAAATGCAGGCCCGCCTGTCTTACCAACAACTTCATCTGCCATCTCACCACGGTCTGCTCTCCCCCACCGCACCCTGCCCGGCTCCTTGCAAACCCGGCAAAGCGGGAAGCCGAGGATCGATCTCCCCCATCTGCCTCCTGGTTTGTTCCGGAGAACGCGGAGATTTAAAGGGCCCTGGAAAGCCATCCATCCTCCTTAGGTTTACTTAATATTTCTCTGGCTCAGAAACAGACACCGCAGGGTTACCTCCCCAGCAGATGCTGCCATTCTCAGAAAGCAGTTTGTTTCCTGGGCCTCCCAGACTTTCCCCTGGACCAGCAGGACGGGGACTTGGAGTACCAGGCACCGAGAGGCAACAACTGTCACGAAAAGCCGTGAGCCAACATAGGTCATGACATATAGGACTAGACAGGCGCTCCCATATTTTTTTAACTGGTTCCTTAGTGTGGGAAGTGCACACATCTTATTCAGTTGGAATTTAATCCCTTAAACTGTCTTAATATAGAATTCATCTCCTGCATTAAATAATCTTATGTCATGTTAAGTTGCACTTATTTCTTTCATAAATAAATTAACATAGAACAATTAGATGTGTTATTATAATAATATCATGTATCTTATTAGTTTATTTTCCCTCATAAAATATATAGGTATGAAATAAATTCAATATATTAAAGTAATAATACACAGCTTATTGGCTTGTGTATTTATTTTCTCCATAAATAAGCAAATATACAATATATTAAAACCACACTATACATCTCACTGGGCTGTGTGTTTATTTCTCTATAAAATATGCCCATAGGCAGTGCTTAACATCTTAAAAATCACAGCACATAGCCATCTCTACACCAACAAAATGAAACAGACATTTCAGCTGGAGCTTTGACGTCTATGGACAGTCAAACTAGATAATTTGGTCTAATTAAAAATGCTCTTTCAGCTATAGCAGGTTGTTACAAAGATCAAGAATACCAGAAGGATCTTGCTAATTGCCCACCTTCCAGCTTTCTTTGGTCAAAAGGAGAGCACCCTTCATCAATGCCAGAAATACAGGATCTGCTCTGCTGGAGAGAATTCACACCCTGGGATCATGGCTTGGTCTGCAACACTCTGGGGCCTGTGAGGCTTCCTTTCTCTAAGAGGCTTGCTGCTCCATGGACCAGCAGCAGCAGCACTCCCTGTAAGCTAGTTAGAAATGCAGACTCTTAGGCCCTACTCCAAGTCTACTAGATCAAAATCTCAATTTAGCCCATCACCAAGTAATTTATATGCACATTAGAGTTTGAGCAGCCCTACTAGACCATAGTGCCACCTTGCTTCCTGCCTTCCTCCTGTGCTTAAGAATTTTTGAGTTGCTTAACCTGGCTGCTCCCTTCCAGTCCTCCCCAACTCAAACCAGTGGCCCCAAAGGACAGGGAATCTCAGCTCCTGCCTGAGGCTGCACCAGACCTGACTCCTCCCTGCCAAAGTGAGTGGAGGGCCAGGAGGGTCCAGCCAAAATCTCAATCTACCTGTTCAGATCTAGGTACTTTTTGTATCCTGAGGATGGGAAGCAATGAATCCAGAGAATCAGGAGCATTTCCAGCATTTTCCTTGGTTGATTATTAGAGAGGAGTTGGAACTCTTCTTACAAGCAGCACAGGAATCTTTCAATCCCTCCTTTTCCATATTCACAAAACTCACCATCTCTGATGCCACCACAGCAGAACAAAGAGACAATGCATTTCCAGAAGGAAAGGACTCCTGTTTTCAATCTCCCCATGGAATTTCAAAATCAAAGGAATGCCCGGCAATTTGGGATTCATAAAGGACTGGCACTCAGGAATGCCTGTGTTCCAAATCAGCTCCTTTTCCTTGTTTCATCTCTGGGGCCATCCTCTTTAGCCTGAGTTTTCCCAGCTGGCTTTGGAGAAGGAAGGAGAAGAGGAAGGGGTTCCCAGATTCCGCAGCAGACACCCTCCCTTGCCCCTCTTGATGTAAGCTGATAGTGGTACCAGGCAGCTGCACTCAACTTATCCCATTGGGGCAGGGCTCCTCTAGGGTCAGGACCAAGTACGAGTGGTCTGCAGCACAGACTGGTTATAAATTGGCTGTGATTGGAGTGAGACGGTTTCGGTGCAGTCCCGAAAGCTGCTGGTCAGTCCACCGCTCTTGATGCGTCATCTTTTAAGAAGAATGGCTCATTAATATTACGGTGAAAGCAAAGGACCATTAGATTGGGAAATTATTTGCCATCATGATAACCTGGAGTCATTAAAAATTTTTTTTCAACTCAGGATGGGGCAAGTACCTTCCCCTTCTGGACCTCAGTTTCTCCATCTGTAAAACAAATGGAAGGACTAATGCCTCTAATATCCTCTGCATCAATAAATGCCCAAAGGATATTTGTTAAGTCTTCACAAAGTATTCAATATTTATTATGGCTGGTGTCATGGGCTTTTAAATGGAGGTGGTGGCTTTTGATGTTTGACAACAACCCGCCTCCCAAATATCTGGTAGAGCCATTTTAACACATTTTAGTTTACGTCTTTATACCAACAATCATGCCCCCAGTCGTTATTTAAACTAGCAGGGAAAGAAATCTTTTCAACAAAGGAGGCTTGGGTGTAGTGAAATGTGCCAAGTATCAATAGACACGAGTATTCGGAAGTGTCCTAACCAACTTTTCCTTTGACTTTCATCTCTTGTCACCTTCCCCAACATTTGGTTATGTTTCCTCTTTTTTTTTTTTAAGATTTTATTTATTTATTTGACAGACAGAGATCACAAGTAGGCAGAGAGGCAGGCAGAGAGAGAGGGGGAAGCAGGTTCCCTGCTGAGCAGAGAGCTTGATGCGGGAATCAATCCCAGGACCCTGAGATCATGACCTGAGCCGAAGGCAGAGGCTTAACCCACTGAGCCACCCAGGTGCCCCGGTTATGTTTCCTCTTGTGTCAGAAACAGTAGGATGGGGCACCTGGGTGGCTCAGTCGGTTGGGCATCTGCTTCGGCTCAGGTTATGATCCCAGGGTCCTGGATGGAACCCCACATCGGACTCCCTGTTTCTCCCTCTCTCTGCTTGCTGCTTTGCCTCTGCCTACTTGTGCTGTCTCTCTGTGTCAAATAAATAAATAAAATCTTGAACACACACACACACACCCCAGTAGGACATTTTGTACAAAAATTGTCACCAAACTGTTTTGACACAGTGCATTAGAACCTTAAAAGTCCCTTTAAGTCAAGTTTTGGCTGATTGCTGGGGGGTACAAATTCTGGGTACAAATTCTGGGTCTCCCTGAACAGCCCTGATGAATTTCCCTGCCCACCTTTCCTCTAAGTTTCTGACAAGCATTCCGTGGCCCTCCTGTACATCTTGAAAGTGCTCTCGTCAAATACATGTCCTTGGTTCAAAAAGAGTGGCCTCTAGCCCCCATGCCATCCCCCTCTACCTGCTGTGGCTGGTGTGGCCCAAATCCTCCTTTGAGCTCTCCAGTTCAGCTCTGCCCTCCTGTCCCCACCCCATCCCCCCTCTTCACACTCAGCT